TCGCAGAAATTGGTTGGAGCTCCATTTGTCTGACACACACTTGGGTAGCTGTAGATTGAGCACCAACCACGGCACTTTGGAGAAACCGGCTCCCACGAGCTGGACAGTTTCAGATGACCTAATTCTTGTGGGATGGGATGGACCGGATGATCCCTTGAATCCTGCAAACCAGAGCACCCCGCGAAAGCTCTTCATGACTGTCTTGGTCTCTTTGATCGCACTTGCTGTTACTGCCGCATCAGCGATTGATGCTTGTGGTGTCAGGGAGTATAGCGAGTACTTCCAGGTATCCGACGTTATTGGGTCTCTTGCAACAGGTAAGGCGACAATCTTTCTGCCTTCTGTTCCCAAATTGCCTTTCCCCCGTAGCAGACTCCGGCTAACTCGTCATGATTGTTTAATAGGTCTTTTTCTCATTGGGTTCGGGTTCGGCTCTCTGCTATCAGGCCCCTTCTCTGAAACATTTGGCCGCAACGCAATATACTTCACGACTATGCTCCTCTATTTGACTTTTATTATGGCATCAGGCCTCGCCCCAAACCTTCAAAGTCATCTTATCTTTCGCTTTATTGCTGGCTTTTTTGCTTCTACGCCTTTAAGCTGCGCCGGCGGCACGATTGCAGATTTATGGAATCCGCTAGAGAAGACCTATGCTTTTCCTGTCTACGCCATACCAGCATTTGTAGGGCCAATGCTGGGTCAAATAATGGGAAGCTATATTCCAGTCACATTAGGCTGGCGTTGGTTGGAGTGGATAATGCTCATCATGGGCGGCGCAGTTCTGGTTCTGGTCCTTTTATTTCAACCTGAGACTTACGGCAATCTGATTCTCTTTTGGAAAGCCTCAATCCTTCGAAAAGAAACCGGAGATGAGAGATACAGGGCTCCAATGGAGATGAAACGGCAGAGCCTAGGCCAGCGTCTGAAGCTCTCCGTCTACCGGCCCTTTGCAATGTTTTACTCTGAGCTAATTATCATTCTAATTTCCCTGTATTTGACCATTATCTATATTGTCATCTTCACCTTTCTAGAGGGCTATACCTATGTCTTCGGCGAGATATATGGTATCTCTGAGGGCTTGACTAGCATTTGCTGGGCTGGTATGCTAGTTGGGATCATACTGGTTAGCTGCGTGGTGCCAGTGGTTTACAGCTGGACAGCCAAGGTGTATACTCGAGAGAAATCCTCTACCGTTGCCCCCGAGATGAGACTCTGGTATACAATGCTGGGCGGTGCACCGGCAGTACCAATCAGTTTGTTCTGGATGGGTTGGACCAGCAAAGTAAGTTTCGTGGAATATATGTCTAACTGATCTGTGGAAGACTGACATTTCTCTACCTTGCTCTGCCACAGCCATCAATTTCCATCTGGTCTCCTCTCGTCGCATCTGCTTTTTTCGGCTTCGGCATCACAACTATTTTCATCGTTTCGTACATGTATCTCATCGATGCCTACGATACATATTCGGCCTCCGCTTTAGGATTTCTTGTGTTCACTCGATACGTGGTTGCAGGTGGTGTGACTGTTGCTGGGGGTCCAATTTATCAGGCTCTCGGTGTGCAGTATACACTCACCATCCTCGGGTCGGTCAGTGCTGTCATGACTTTTGTGCCCTACCTGCTGTACATTTATGGACCCAAAGTCCGCAAGAACAGCAAATACGCGGTGAACATCGACACAACGTGACATCCCCTAGAAACCAGCTGTATTGAGAGGAACATCTGGGCAAGAGAGCATGAACCAATAGACAATAGACAGAAACTTAGTATCTAGTTATGCTTCACACAATTCTCCTCCTCTTTCAACATTACGTAGTCTTTTCACTCTCCAATCCTGACCTCTTGGAAAGTCCCTCCCGGTAACTAGTGACTGCGCCTCCTATTTGCTTGCTGAAGGATTCATGTGCGGTTGGGGACGTCTTATGTCAAACATTTCGCAGGCCAACCAAGTGTGAAGAAAGAGCGCCGTCTCCGCTGTCCGTTGTGCTCGCTGCCTTCGGTGAGACAGACCTAGACACCTGATGGAGGGTGGTACCCTGATTGCTTTGACAGGCTTTGGTGCCGTAGGGTATCTGCTATTTCGATCGTGCTGAGTGAGGGATAACAGAGACAGGCGAGGAAAATGTAATAAGGAAATCCTTCCAAGGTTCTGTCTGTACCCGTGGGAGGTTACCAAGAGCTATCAATATATTTAGTTCCCTGATCCACCCGAATCGCCTACTAAAAAAAAAAAAGAAATGTCTGACAAATCGATATCTCGTTTTGACCGGAATCTAAACCCCCCAAAAGTGAGTATACTACGGTAGGATTCCGATATAATGGATCTTCCGTACCCCTTTGCCGGGCGCATATCGGGCTATTCGAAGTAGATGCCGTGATGGGGTCTAGGTCGATCTCTCGGGGGACAAAACGCTCGAAGCACAGTACCCATTGTGGCCACCGCCGTTAAGCTTGGATTCAAGTTATTGTTCAATTTGACTGATCTTTTACCGGATCCAGCCGTTCCAGCCTTGCTAGAGGAGTACAGGAAAGTGAAATGATGGCAATGGAATCATATAGACAGCACAGTTGAAAGAGAAAAGATTCGTCAAAGTCGGATATTTGAAATTATCGTGTTGATTCTAGCTAGCTTATGTGTTATTTGGTTGATCCGATACTGAGTAAAACTACAGCGGCAGTCGCGCACATGTAATATATATTTTTTTTTACTTTCCTTGCTTGCATCTAAAGGTAACCTAATTGCCCTCTTTTGAAACTGATTAGCCTGCTGAAGAGCTGGAAAATTAATACAAAACGGGAGTTGCGCTAGAATAGTCAATACCAATTGTGTGGTTAGCTTTATATTTCGAATACCTTCTGGTTTGAACTCCAGAGCCACATTGTTCACCCCCCAAGATGAAGAGTTGTCTTGCACTTTGACTTGAGGACATGGTCCATCAAGCACAGCACCTGTCATCTCCTCAGTCTTTAACTATCTGTATAAAAATGAGAGACATTATATATTGAAGCAGCCTATATGTATGTTGCCCAACAGGTTACTAAATAATTGTGCAATTGAAACAATAATTCATTTAAAGGAGATATAATATCTGTTATTAAGTAATTAAAATTCCTTGTAATAAGTCCAACTTTCCAATGCTACCACGTCGCCGGCTTTCAGCTTAGGGATAGATAATTATTTCCCCTTCTTAAATAACCGAACTTCAGTGGGCAAAAATGAATTACTAAATTACTTATCTAGAGAGTAAAGGCTTATATATAATTAAAAAAAAAAAAAAAAAAAAAAGAACACTAGCCAATGTACGATAGTGTGCTTACGCTGCGAAACTACTGTATCTGAAAAGATTTTGAAGTCCATTCCGGAGCCACGAAATATGTCCTGACAAAGACAGAATCAAGATCTCTCTTCTCCTTTCATCTCTTCTAACCGTTGAGCAAGCACTTGACAAGGCCATTCGCCTTCCACGTTGAAACTTTCGACCCTCTTAAACCCCTGAGACTCATAGTATTGGATCAATTTGCCGTCGCCACCTGCATAGCAATCTACCCGTAGTAGTGATATTCTAGCGTTTCTGGCAAGATCACGTGCATGGTCTAAGAGACGTTTGCCAATCTGATTGCCAGCACATCGTCGATCTGTGACTAGCAATCGCACGTAAAGCTCGGGCTCAGAGACAGGTGGCACATAGGGCGATCTCTCTCCAATAGCAAGCGCACCTACGATGATCCCCGGAGCTTCTCCGTCCATAGTTTGGGGCTGTATATTGGACATTCGATTTTGAGGTAGAATGGGTATGTTATTTTCAGCCTTGATAGCGAGCCAAAGACCATGGCCGGTAGTTGAAAATTCTCTGAGTTGCTCGGCGCGTTGTGGATTCTCTGAAAATGGTGCTGTTCCCCACTGCCCAGTTCTGTCCTGCGATACCAGCCATTGGACTGCAGTATCTAAAAGGTGGAGGACTGCCGGAATGGCGTCCACTGTTCCCCGTACGATAGTTATATCGTCGGCTCCATTGTTAATCGTGCTTTGTAAAATTGTATTAGTATCTGTTGGGTAGGTTGACGCTTCGAACAATAGCACTTACTTTGATGCCATTTGTCGAAGCAGTTTGAAGAGAGATGGCTGTCAAATAACCTCAATAAGCTCATCTAATTCGAAATTTTTGGATCTTTGGAAAATTGCGGAGAAGGTTGCTAAATTAAATAACACCCATCTCCATGGATGAAACGGAGGCTTGGCAATCACGTAATCACAGCATTTAAATACGAACTCAGCTGCGTTTGCCTAAGACAAGGCACAGATAACGCAGGATTTAAATCCTCCAGATTCTCATCCCCGCAAGAAGGATCAATCACTCCAAAGTTCCAACAGACGCCTTGACCCCCCGTCGGGGATCTACCTGTCCACAAATTTGTCCGGACTGTAGGTAGGTAATTGCCCAGGTGAAGATTGCGAATGTTACCTATGTATCCACATCCCACCTTGCCGATGGTCTCGTGGTCCCGAGGCTGTCTTGGAACATCGAGGTTACAGGTGAGCTGACCACTAAAACCGCCAAGAATGACCCTGGGTATTCGCACTAGCATAAAGTTAGTTTACTCATGGATCCACTTATGGATTGTCAAATGGTATTTATTTGCATCGGCGCTCTTTGCACGGAAATAGTTGGAGTGGCACCTAGGCGCAGATTCTCCCTGGCTGGTGACTGGAGTGAGCCTCAAAAGGGCCATGTGCAGACTTTATACTGATTTGTAGGTGTTTTCTAATACTGGCAAAGCATTCATTGGCAAAATGTCGATTTTACTTTTTTTAGCTCCTTTGGTACTGCAACGATGTCGTATCCAGAATGAATGGCGAATATCAGGCAAGGTGTAGTTTGTTATTTCACCATCAGAGCGATGTACGGTTACTATTGTATACGTTTTGCAGGGTGACATGGCGTAGGTGAAATCAACCGGAAAAGGTCCCATGCCAGAATTGGGAGGCAGGCCACTGCTGCCTCACTGTAGTACATCACTAAGTTCAGCAAAAGACTGATAACCCAGATTATCGGACCAGAGCCAAAGCTGACTGGCATCAGCAAGTCCGGAGTCGACTAAAGAGGAAATATTCCCATCCCAGGAGAATCCGGCGGACGAATCCAACCCCGAGACTCTATCATCCAGCCCTCCTGCATCTTGCCAGGTGGGTGCGGAAATCTCAGAGGCGGGAACTCCTATTTGGTTGGAAGGCTGTTGTGTGTGGTTGGCAAACACTGCGTATGCCTTGTCAACATTGTCCAGAAAGTGATGCACATCACGTGAGGGGCATTACCTTCTTGAAGAGGTGTAAGAGACGCTTGGGCAGTCGTCACCACACCCCCTAAGTCGCCCTGCTGATTTGTCTGTGTTTGATTGAAGTTGGGATATTCACTTTCAACGACGTGCCTTTCTATGGCTTTCGGTTGAGAGGTAGACTCTGGAACCGGGTTCCCAAGAATTGTTCGTTGTTCAGCCTGCAGGACGACGTTGACCAAATCTTCAAGTATCTTGACACTTTGTAGTGATAGGACATGCTGTTTCGAAACTCTTTCCTTCTGTAGTCGAATAATTTGCATGATGCCTGCCTTTGCCTTCTGGCTGGTTATGGATAATGGTTCCACGAGGGAGAGTGCGCACAGTACGACACCGGATGTAAACAGGCATATCCCAATATGCATTACGGCGTGTGTCCTGCGAGAGGCCTGCAGAAGATGAGAATATCGATACAGTTCCGAGGTTCGTAATGCAGACTCCAGCAGCTGTTGACGGGAGAAGGCAGAGCTTTCGGTCTCGACTACCTTTCCGTCTGAGCCAGCTTCATGGTCAAAATCTCCAAATGCAACACTTCGATGAAGGATTATGCGAAGATTGTCGTAAGTCAGCTGAAGAGCAAGAGCCGCTAGCTGTATTAATGGTGGATGTCCCGAGCTACTGTCTTCCTTGTAGGTTTCTAGACGTAGGCTATTAGGCAATTCTCTCTCCCATTTGACGAGCTGATCATGAATGGCCTTTACTGTGTCCATTCGATTTGTTTGAAGCCGCCTGCCCAGAAAGGGACCCATGATGCGATAGAGTCTAAATTTCCATTGATGATATGTTAGGAGAGGAGTTTGGCGAGGACTTATTTCCCCAACGTCCGTTACCAAGCCAATATTACAATCGGAGTCGTCTATACTACATGGCCTCCCGAAGGCCACAGCTGCATACCTGAAAATCAATGAAACGTCAGAGGGAATGCGCGACAGATGAGGACTACTACCGGTAACGTACTTGTCGAAAACTTCCAAGGCCCACCATGACCGTCTTCTGGACTCTTGTGCGACTTCAGAAAGATTGTGCCACATTGATTCACGATGCAATCCAATGACCTGCGCAATTTTAATGCCACTTCCTAAGACGCCCATACCAACAGTCGGACGACCGTTGAACAAGTGGAAACTTCCCAGGAGCACGCAAACCTGCACAGCTTCGACATTCGGACACCCAATGATCTGCAAGAATCTGTATTCGATCTGGGTAAGGAGTTTCTCAGATAGGACAGATAGGTTCTGGCCATGATCATCGAAAGGCTCACGAAGGGACGAATAGTGGGCGCCGAGAGCGAGGACTAGCATCACAAGCCACAGAAAGTTGCTATCAGGTCCAGCAACATGCACCGAAGCAATGAGACTCTTGTATCGCTGTCGAAAACTCCCTTCGTGGAATACCTGACCGAATCTCGTCAAACCGCTAATTTTCACAAATAAGAACAGAGCATACCATCATAAACCAATCCACAGACTCGAAGAACTGGGTAATGAGTTCATCCAGCACTTGCCGTGGAGGCAGCTGTATACCAATTCCATCTCTCCATGGTATCGGGCTAGAGATGAGGGGGCTGTATGTCTTCTTGCCTCCGGGCAAGGCGGAGGTGTCGTAGCCTAGTGTTTGGTGCTGTTCATCGCGTGAAAACATCTATTGTCGCCATGATGGGGAACTGGTCAGCCAGTTACGAGAATGTCGCAAAGTCCTTCAAGAGGTCTCATTACCCGGGTACTCAGGTCGACAATATTCAGCTCCGGGAGAACTGCAGTACGTCGATCGTTCGGACGAATGGGAGCAGTTTGTCCTTCACCGTAAGTTCTCCTTTGCTCAACTGGCGCAGGATTTGAAATCGTCGGAGATGCTCGAGCCACGGGCTCTCCGCGCGGAACGCATGTTACACCGGCTCGGAGACATAACTGGCACGGGCGTTGTTGATCACACTGCCAGTAGTATAACCATTTTCAGCCTCGATCTGCACAAAGTGGATACAAATCGATCAAGGGAGCGTCACATACCCCTAGCTTGCGTTTTCGACACCTCTCACAGGCGGATGAAACTTTCTGGCGCTTTCTGGCCGGGTCCATCGTACAGAAGGCAAGTCGAATCCGCGTCAAGGGAGGAGATCATTGGGTGTTGGTTCATTTCCGACGGAGTTGGATAAGCTTAAGTGGAGATCAGAGGTGCCGTCCGACGGACTTACATAAGCGCTCCAGAGCAATCGGAATGACATCATCACTAGACGAAAGCTTATACATACTTTCTTCAATCATACTTAAAGTCTTGTATATTCTGGTTCAATTGCCAAGGTATACTCAGCGTTCCTCTGTGATCAAATCTTCCTTTCAAGCAGTTTCTCAGATCTTATATTATAACTACTTCCATACCAACCGAAATGGCACCCCCACGCAAGGCTTTGATTGCTATCACTTCCGCACATGCGCCGCTCTACCCAGAGGGCAAGGAGACAGGTAGGATCAGAGTGGGCCCCAATCTAGCAAGACACTAATAGAGATGCTTAGGTCTATTTATCACCGAGGCTCTTCATCCATTCAACGTCTTTAAAAAAGCAGGCTTCGAGGTCGACCTCGTCTCTGAGACTGGTACCTACCAGCCGGATTGGTTGTCCCAGCAGAAAGACTGGCTTCCAGAGGAGGATCGTGCCGTCTGGGAAGATCACTCGAGTGAATTCCGTTCCAAGCTTGATAAGTTGCTGAAGCCAAGCGACATCAATCCGGATAACGTGTGTCCCAACTCTAAAGAACGAAAACGTTATGTCTGACACTAACCGCTAATAGTATGGCCTCTTCTTTGCTTCTGCTGGCCATGCGTCGCTGATCGACTATCCCGATGCCAAGGGTCTGCAGTCAATTGCTGCTAAAGTGTATACTGACGGTGGTATTGTCTCTGCTGTGTATGGTGTCCCCCTTCTCTTCCATCCCTTAAACCAGTGACTTTATACTAATACACCCCCACAGTTGCCATGGAGGAGCTATCTTCCCGGGTGTTATTGATCCCTCCACCGGAAAGTCTGTCATTTCTGGTCGCAAGGTTACTGGGTTCACTACCCGGGGTGAGGAGGAAGAAGGTGTCCTGGACACCATTAAGAGCTGGGATAGGCCCACCATTGAGGCCTCCGCAGCCTCCTCCGGAGCGACCTGTAAGTTTTGAAATCCACAATATAAACATATCTAATCGTTCTTCAAGATGTCTCTCCCGATGGACCCTGGGATGCATTCACTATCACGGACGGACCTATTGTCACAGGTGCCAACCCGGCCAGTGCTCATGTTACTGCTGAGGCAGCGGTCAAGGCTTTTGATGCGCTTTAAATAGCTCTCCTATAAATGATAGCTATGATAGTCTCGGGATGAATAATGTCACTATTCTGTTTTCCTATGTTATCTTCCATGTACCAGGATGTAAATGATGTGATAATAGCTACGAGTTTAATAAAAGTTTTCCATATGTAAATTTTCAGTCTATAGTCAACTAATAAGACGTGTCGCTCATCCATATCGTGCATTAGTAGCTTCATCATCGAACCATACAGGGGCCACCCCGTAGTTAATAAGTGTGCTTTTGACCTTAGTATAACTCTCATACGCCTCCAGGCCATTTTCCTTCCCTATCCCACTCTCCTTGAATCCACCCCACGGCGACGAGGGATCATTCAAATGATGACCATTAATCCAAACAATGCCAGCATCAATTTTCTCCGCAACGCGATGCGCCTCAGTAAAATCATTCGTCCAAACCGAAGCCCCAAGCGCAAACGGGGTACTATTCGCAATAGAAACGATCTCCTCCTCAGACTCACACCGAATAAGCGCAATAACCGGCCCAAACACCTCGTTACAAGCGAGATGCGAATCAGACCTGACTTCAATAATAGTTGGCTCAAAGAAGAACCCCTTCCCATCTGGCCCCATCGTAGGACGCCCACCACAAAGCACATTCCCACCCTCCTGCACTGCTTGATCTACAAAGCCAGTACATCTCTCCACTGCAGCCCTGGAAATCACCGTCCCAATCTGTGTCCTCCCATCCATCGGATCCCCAACCCTGAACCCCCTAACCCTTTTCTCCAATAACTCTCGAAACGCTCCATAAATCTCCCGATGAACCAACAACCGACTCCCAGTCACACAGGTCTGTCCACTAGCAATAAACCCCGCAAACAACGCCGCCTGAACAGCCCTCTCAACCTCCAAGCTCGGAAACAGACATACAGGCGCCTTACCTCCCAACTCCGCCGTAACGGGGACCATATTCCGCGCCGCAACAGGTGCAACAGCTTGATATGTTCCCAGTCCCCCAGTGAGATCGATCTTAGCCAGAAGCGGCGACTCGCAGAGGAACTTCCCCGTCTCGAACCCATGTCCGCAGATAATCTGGAGGACGCCGTTCGGTAGCCCTGCCTCTTGAAACAGGGGACCCAGTTTCAGGACTGATAAGGGGGCGAGCTCGCTCGGCTTCACGATGACGACGTTCCCGGCTGCGAGTGCCGCGGCGATTTTCTTAGTCGCGATCAGTAGTGGATGATTGTACGGCGTGATTTGCGCGACGACGCCCAGCGGGAGTCGGGTGAGGGTGTTCACGACGGGGCCCTTGAAGGGGGTTACTCTGCCTTCGTGGACGCGGGCCAGCGAGGCGAAGTACTCGAGCCATTCTGGGACGCGGGATAATTGGGTTTGCATCTCGCGAATGGGGCGGCCTGTTTGGCAGGTTTCGAGCTCGATGAATTCGGGCAGTCGCGTGCGAAGGAGTCTCGCGGCGGTGGCGAGGACGGTGAAGCGGTCTGAGGGCTCGGTTTTGGTCCATGGGCCTGTGTGGAAGGTTTGGACGGAGTCTGCGACGATCGTGGTGACTGTTTCTTGGGGCGTGGAGTCGATTGTCGCGATGGGTGTTTCGGTCGCTGGGTTTAGGACTGTGATCACTTGGGCGGTTGTGGTTGTGGTTGTGTAGGCCCCGTTGATCCAGTTGGATACATGGGGGATTTGGTCTGACATGGTGGGTTTGGTGTTTTGTAGAGATTCGAAGGTGGGATGTTTCTGTTGGGTGTCACAATGGGTGTTCGACTGTGTGTGTATTTGTAGTAAGGTAGGAAGAGGGGGAAATTGTTGGCTGATAAATTATAACCCCGCATTTACAATGTTACGCTGTGCTTATCCTTATCTATCTATCAGGAACTAACTTTCGTAGATTACCTTAATTATTTTCACTTACAATGAGGACTCCACATTAGTGTGGCAGCTGTACATGCATTAGAGCTTTCGCATCACACGTCACCGCAATTGAGGATCATGGAACCCTTCCTACTGTAGATATGCGAACAACAATCGCGAAAACAGATCGATGGGCTAATTCCTTATCAGTAAGAGGTGGAGTCCCAAGCGCCATCCAACCCCACTGTGGGTCCTACTTAATACTTCAGTGATCTAACAACAGCCTTACAGCTTTTCCAAAAAATCCCAGCAATCTTTATAGAGATTCCAATCAACCCTTGCACAGGCTGCCAGAGAATGACGAATCACTTACTCCATATCGTATCATCAATGGACCACAATGATTAGACTATTCCCTCTAAGGCCCTTTAAAGACACTGAAGTGTATTTCAAAGGGCAGTGTGTTGTCCTCTGGCTTGGTTGTCCTATGTGAGATTGTTGGGATGGCTCCCTCCAGATTATTCATCAAGAGGCCATTTTAGCAAATATGGCGCTGGTTGTGGTGGATACAACCAAATAGATAGTGAATGCAGTAAAACACAAAATTCTGCGTTATATCAACAGACATATCCCTCTATGTAGCTGGAAAAATAAGGTTTTCTTCCTCATCCAAAAGACAGAGATATGACACCCGTGACAAGGCCCTACAAGTACACCCACGATTTGAATGTGTTGAAACCCCAAGGCTCCTTGATTCGAGCCTCTAGTATCCGGAACCAGGCACAGCTTGCCAGAACGACTCTGTTACACGATCATTTCTTCCGCTTCCAGCATGATGGCTCTGTTACTTCGTACAGCCCTAAGCAAGGCTTTAGAGCCAAAGGCTCCTATAAAACGGCACCTGAGCACCGGCTAAACTAACGTAAGATGGAGGAGCATCTGATTTGGCTTTGTCGCTCTGAGCAGGCCACGCCTTTATATCTGTCATCGACAACAAGGGCGGGTGATACCATACTGGCAGTTGTGTCTTCCGATGTTTAGAGAGGCTAACAATCTCGATCTTTCCCTAGTGGTTGCTACTAATGACGCTGAAAACCATAAGTATCTTAGATACCCCGGTATTTGTGGCAGAGATCAGCACCTGAACTTGGCTTTTCCACCCTCCAGTTCGCCAAGAAAACTGTACAACTACCGGTCTGGAACAATGATGAATATGTTACTTTCATCTCTACGCAAGTATTGAGGAAGCATTTGGGAGTCTCTCACATGATCGGTCAGCTCTCGGAGTGGCTTCTCCTGAACCATATCCCTGCTTCAATGACCCAGCGTACTGTCGCTTTTTGATACTGTTTGCCACCTGGAGTGCAGAATGAGAGAGATACCTGCAGCCCTACATGGATTTTGATGACCTGAAAGTCACGAGCAAAGAAATTGAGATGTTTTCAGAAAATTAGGGGAGTGGTAACCAACGGCCTAAAGGCCAGCTTCGGGCTACGTTTGGTCTTTTCATTCTGTTTACAAGTTACCCATCAGATTACCATAGTACAATGAAGCTCGAATATGAGACGTACCGAAGCATCGTTCATTTGAATCCACTTCATATGTATAGGATGCCTCGGATTAACCTGATAAAAACAACTGTGGTGTCATCAGGTTCAGAATCTCCATCAGAAAGCCGATCCACTTTTAATTTAATCCGCTAAGCCAATTCAAGACTAGCGCTGTTGCAGGGAAAGATGAAGTCGAGTACTCTGGTATATATAGTCAACAGGCGTAATATACTAGTACTTGCCAGTGGGTTATTTTGACCTATATATTAGCCTATCTATAGAAATTCGATATGCATATGTCCCTTAAACGCATTTGAAAGTTAGGTACTAGCTTAAATACAATTTACTTCATTGTGTATCACACGCGACTGCCACGAATATATATATTCAGCCAACATATAACTTCGAAAATTGTGACACGACATACACATTCCAAAGCCCTGCATAACTATTTCTTATCTCGAGCTAGCTCAGGCTGTGCAAGCATCTCCGGATCCCACCGGGGATCCTTGCTCTCACCAACCGGTGCCCAGCCGAGTTGAATCTGTATCGATCAGTGAGTTAATACGCCCACCTATTCTAATATTTTCTGCAAATTACCTGCATGACCTTCTGATCCCAATCCTTCGTAAAGCTCTTCACCTTCCCATCCTGAATCTCAAAGATAGCCGCAGCGCTCCATCGTGCCTTTTTCGGTGGATCCGACCGTTCAATACCTTGATAAGGCTTCCCCGAGTGAGATCCTTCCGCCGTATATCGCAATAGCACATGACCATCCTTAGCCCATGCTTGATCATACCGCACAATGTGCAAGTCATTCACAGACGCCATTACATGCGCATGAGACTCAGCGTAATCCATTGGGGTGGAACATCCCGGGAAGGTAGAAGGGCTCCAGAACCAACTATCGGCGGTACAAAGGTGGCGAACTGACTCGGCGCCTTTGTTTTCAGTTGGGGAGTAGGCGATTGACATGTACTCCTTTGCCACTGCGATGTTACGCTATGAGTGGTAGAAGAGGGTTAAGTCGTTTCCGATGAGAATATTGTGGCTGATGAGGGGATATATTTTGACCGGAGTTACAACGTACCTCTTCTGCGGGTGTTTGCTCCGTCGCAATGGCGGTCGGAGGTTGGTTTCCGGGCGACATTCTGGGACTATATTGTTGGGAGGTTATGGTAGTGATTGTTCTTTGGAGGTTTCAAGTAATTTTTTGGAAGGTCTGTCGCCTGTATATAAACCCTGGAATGGAGGGTGTGACGGATGTCGTTTATAGTGTCATGATGACGCTGAACTTATTGTTCGCTTTTCGTTGCTCACCCGTGTATCTCCAATATTCCAGAAAAGTGTCCTAAGGCGTCGAGCTACCAAGGTACTAGTAGCCATAGGTGTTGAAAGGCAGGCATAGACCATCAGTAAGGTACCAGAGTTAGTCCTGCCACTGATATACGCATGTGAACAGGTCTACAAAATGAACAGAAAAAGCCATGACATCGCGCAGTACGATTCATAGTGCCATGGCTGCTTTGCCCACTTTACTATGCATCGTCTAGGATTAGTAACTTACTAGATACATATTTATTTGGCTTTGACCTGGCACCGAAACTGGCCCACTTGGCAAACTGCAATTTTAGACTCCAAGAGGTGTTGACTGTGACTTGGGTCCAATCAGAACTGAGAACACTTCCGTCATCCCATTGAGATCTTGGCAAGGGTCCTTGTAAGCATGGCAGTCTGTCTGTGCAAGCCTTGATGAACACAGTGCTATGGCAGTTCAAAAGCTTTCATTGTGTTGAAAGATGCTTTCCTTTGCTCTTTGTGTTGTAAGGCCTTAAGGAAGTTAAGGTGATAGGGTGAGTATTAACATGGAAGAAGCGTCTAGCCGTGTGAATAGCAAAGCATACTATATAAACTGCTGCTATAGGAATGTGTTACTGAGATGTCATTTGATACAGAGTACATTCTTTGCTTTAAATGGATTGCCACAGCAATCATGTGCCCTGTGAGTTATAAAAGAGATGAGAATGGTAATAGTGGTGTGGACCACGCATCGAACGATATGGTAGATCTGACAACTAATTAGGTAGAAATAACAGGAATTGCACGTCCTCGTGGGGAGGGTTGGAGCAATCAGATGATATTTCCCAATTTGTGCGATGCGATTAAATTGCCGGAAGGGGAAACACGCGCCCTCGTTCTGCGGCCCGCGGAAATCCTGGGAATCCGATTGGTCAAGAAAATCAACCAGGCAAAACCCCTTTAGGCAATTCTAGCATAAAGGCACCAAGACCAATAAGCGGCCAGCAGTCACTTGACTGGGGAGCCCTTCGACCTACACTATTTATATATGCCTCGTCTGCTTTCTTATCTCCTTCTCTTTGACTTGTATACCATTTAGACGACCGGTTGATCACGGCAGATCGTCCGATTTTCCATCCCCATTACACATAGAACCGATCCACCGTCGCCTTTGTCACTAACCTTGACGGACATGTTAACATCCACTCCCTTCGATTCATTCAGTCTCAATCATGCCTCTCAAAGCAAGCGGCGAGTCGCCTACTTTTATGATTCTGACGTGGGCAACTACGCCTACGTCTCAGGCCACCCCATGAAACCCCATCGCATGAGGATGGCCCACAGCCTGATCCTCAACTACGGACTCTACAAGAAGATGGAAATCTACGTGAGTCTTTTGTAGTCACTTGTCATGAGGCATTTTTCCGTGCTTACTTTCCGGGGCGTTTTCTAGCGTGCGAAACCAGCCACGAAATATGAGATGACACGGTTCCACTCGGATGAATATATCGACTTTTTGTTCAAAGTTACTCCCGACACAATCAGCAAGCACCTAACCGAGCAGGCGAAATACAATTTCAACGACGACAACCCCGTCTGGGATGGCCTGTCTGAATTCTGCAGTATCAGCGCAGGCGGTAGTATGGAAGCGGCCGCCCGTCTGAATAATAGAAAGTGCGACATAGCGATCAACTGGTCCGGTGGCCTTCACCATGCGAAGAAAAGCGAGGCGAATGGTTTCTGTTATGTGAATGGTGAGTGCCTCGTAATGATTGAATTAGGTTCGTTGGCCCCCGACTCATGTGGGGTAGATATTGTTTTGGGAATTCTGGAGCTATTACGCTTTCATCAGCGCGTCTTGTACATCGATATTGACGTGCACCATGGCGACGGTGTTGAGGAGGCGTTTTACACGACTGATCGTGTCATGACCGTGTCCTTCCACCAGTACGGGGATTTCTTTCCGGGGACGGGCGATATCGGCGACATCGGCGTGCAAGAGGGCAAGAATCATTCTGTGAATGTACCTCTGCGCCCTGGAATGGATGATGTATCCTACAGTCGAGTGTTTCAGCAAGTGATTAAAGGCGTAATGGACTGGTACCGCCCTGACGCCGTGGTCTTACAATGCGGTGGAGATAGCCTGTCTGGCGACCGTCTCGGGAGCTTTAATCTGAGTATGCGGGGCCATGCCAACTGCGTTAACTATGTTAAGAGTTTCAATCTGCCCACGATGCTGGTGGGCGGTGGCGGCTACACGATGCGAAATGTCGCGCGTACGTGGGCGTTCGAGACGGGTGTCGTGGTAGGGGAAGAGGTCGGCCCGGATCTTCCTTACGATGATTTCTACGGGGTAGGTGATCTTCGATCAATCCATTTACTTACTATTAACCTATAGTATTAGTACTACGCGCCAGATTATGTCCTTGACGTCAAACCATCGAACATGCCAAATCAAAACACCGATACATACTTAACGCAAGTATGCACGAAGGTCTTGGACAACATCAAAAAGACCATGACTTTCAGTCCATCCGTCCAGATGACAGACGTTCCGCGTTATCCGCTTATCCCTGCACTCGACGAAGAATTCGAAGATATTGCTGATGACGAAGACGAGGATGAAAATAAGGACGTTCGCGTTACGCCCCGCCAAGTCGATATGCTCCTCGAACACGAGGGCGAGCTGAGCGATGAGGAGGAAATGAACCAGATCAGCAATGTCCTGAACGCGATCAAGAAGCGAAATCAGATTAATCATGGAGAAGTGCTTTCCACTGTCTCTACGACGGAAGCCGAAGCCGAAGCATCGAAAACATCGGATGATCAGGAAGCCGATGGGACCGTCAACAGCAGCCAAGACACGCCAATGACCGAAGCTGAGGTAATTTTCGACCTTGCTCAGGCGGCCGTAAGCCCGTAACTTTTCTGGTCTGCTTTCTGTTTTTTATTTGTTCTCTTTCTTTCTTTCCTTATCCGTCCTCTCTGGAAGTAATCTTTGATATCCTGTTGTTTGACAACTCGTTGTTTTGCTGGCGATTGTTTGTGCTCCTTTTCCCCATTAGTTTTGTTTTTATCTCGTTTAATTCTTGGATTCTCTTACGGCATATTGTGGGGATTGACCATTATGATGTCATATTACACATCGCTCAAACCTTTTACGTTATTCAACCGATTGCACAGGAGTCGCATAGTTAGAGCGAAAAGTTGAAAAGTATTGTTGAGCTAAATACTTACACGGAGGCATCCCCACGGGACTGCATATCATATCGCTGCACTCCAGACACAACTAAAACTCAAACTGGAACCAATCAATTACTCAAAGTCTATTAATACTATAGTCTGTACGTAAGACGCGTAAGCTGCCTGCAACTCCGGAGGCCTTCAGTATAAGCCACCACAAATAAAGACCATATCATCCGTCATATTCTGTCTATATTATACATTGTCTTTCAGGGTATAACAATATCATACATCTAATCCCATTTTACTCGCGAACAAGAACTCCCCTGTATCTCATCTTGCCATCCCTCAACGTCTGCATAGCATCCTCAATACCAGCCTCGTTCAAGGGGAACTTCATAATCGTAGGTTCGATCTTCTTGTCGGCCGCGAACTGCAGCAAGGTCTTCAGACTCTTGCGGGACGCAACCAGGGAGCCCTGAATACGAATGCCCTTGGCACACATGAAAAGCAGAGGAACGGCAGAGGGCTTGAAGTCAACAGTGAGGGGGTAGATCGTTCCATGGACGTCCATGAGAGGAAGGAGACTGCAATAATTAGCAACCTGCCACATATATCATCACAACATTTAGATAAAACTCACGATGGATAATCAACGTTAGCACTACCACATAGCAGAAGATGCTTCAGCGGTTTGAAATCCTTCATTTCCTGTCCGGCGGAAAAGACGTGGTATTCTGAGGCTCCGAATTGCATAGCCTCTTCGCGCTTCTTCTCGGAGCTGGAGAGAACAACGACGTGACAACCCATGGCAGCTGCCAGCTTAATGGCCAAGTGGCCCAGACCGCCGATGCCCATGATACCGACACGGTCTGTGGGCCGGACACCGTACTCAGTCAGGCAGGTCCAGACAGTGGCACCGGCACACATCAAGGGTGCCGCGTTGGCGGAGTCATAGCCGTCCGGGATCTTGAAGACGTTGCCGGCGTTCCAGATGACACCGCGACTGAAGGTACCGAGGTCGTGGTTGTGGGTTCCGTATTCCTTTTTGTTGACACAGTATTGGTCCCAGCCTGCCAAGATATTAGTTAATTGCAAGGGAATAGAGAGTGGCAGATAAACATACCGCTGATACAGTGATCGCAAATGCCGCAGACTTCATGTGTATATCCGAATCCAACACGGTCACCGACCTGAACGTGTGTCACGGCCTCCCCAGCCTGTTTAACAACTCCGACACCCTCATGACCAAGAACCTGGCCAGAATGCAGGTAGTGCTCGTCTGTGCCGCAGAGACCAGAATGTGTCGTTTCGATGTAAACATCCGTCGGGCGAAGAGGACGTGTCGTCTTATCTGCGACGATCTTGCCCTCCTTGGAGCCACGGTATACGTCAAAAGTGATGCTCATGTTGATTGTGATTATGTGGAAGTGAGCTTTCGACAGGATGACTTGGTACAGTATAGAAACCTCATTTTTACGACGGAGGGCCCTTCAATATATAAATCCTCTACTCCCGGTAGATCCATACCGATTGCTAAGCCGGGATATCATATAATCAGAAACATCTCCGTTGTTGCCTCACTTTCCTTGGGTTTTAGAATTTTCCGTAGAATGTTCCATTCAACGGAACCTCCGGTATCCACTGGCCCACATATCCCTGGATCCGCTGTAAAACTACCCTAACTCTCCGAGACGGAGCAATTCATACCACCGGAGCTGTGTCCGTTTGCTTTATGGCATATAGCTTGATTTGCTATACAAATGTTACTATGTGTATAGAGGAAAAGTGATACTCTAAGAGACAAATCCTGTGGATAGCCTCGTCCAGGTGCAGGCGTAAGATATGAAAACCAAGGAATTGTCACACAATATCACATCCCTTTACACTAACCACATAAAAGTCAATAATGCTTCCCCAAAAATAATCTATCCAATTTAATAAAACCTATCAATACACGTAAGACCCTTATTACATCATAACCCCCAAAGTCGCATTCACTCCACGCGACATGATTTTCAACTACTATAATTATCTTAAGTAGCTGAATATTCCGAATCTCGGCTCTCGATATACTACTCTGTTTCCCCCAGCTTAGTAGCTTACACACCTCGAGTGTTCTCGACTTTCGCGAGCGCTGAGGTTGAGGTCCACCTGAAACTCCGGCCGTCCTTTATCGTAGATAAAGTATGGCGAATTCGCCACACACAAACACACGCGGGGACCCACATACCATACAATAATAAAAGGTACATGCCGAGGTTCAACCGGAAATATGTCCCTGGCTCTGGAGAATACATTGTCAGCTTCCCAGATTTCAGCCACGAAGGTTCGTCATTACTTGGGGTACTATAGGAATGCTGGAGTTGTGATAATGAAACTTGTCATCTTTTAACATTTCTCAGAGTATGATGGAGATTGGTATTTCTCCTGAGGGGCTAGAACTAATGATTCTGAGGCCAGATCTTGCGGACTAAATCGAGGGATTCCAGGAACAGTACGATATCGTCTTGGGTTATGTGGATCGATTGAAACTGTCCTTCTCACGCCAAGATAAGCTTATTTGACATCGAGACATCCGCGTACCTTGGTGGAATACCTTTGATCATTGATGTCACTCAAGCCTTGAATGTCCAATGGATAATCGAAGGCAAACAAGAACCCACAAGGGACCTATGCTACACGGTAGACCCTAATAGTGTCCTACCTAGGATACTACTTGACTCCACGATAGGCTGCATCACAAATATAGAGACAAGGTAAAAATGTTGAGTAATCCTGAAATTACCTAAGCTGGGAAAGGCGAACTGACAAAATCAGGACAAAAGGAGCTGAGGTGAGGACTCGGCAATGGATCGGAGGTTTAGGCGGAAGTGAAGGAGTGGGTCTCGACCTCAACGGCGCAGAAATCGCCATCTGGATGGACCCACAGCTTAGCCGATGTGCCGTCTTGGCATATTGATTATATTCCTGACTCTGATTATTTCAAAGCGCTCAAAGTTTGAGGACTCGTCACTCGATTGACGGGTAGCCACTCTCGAAGTATCTTTTATACCCAGGACTTCCTCATTGCGCTTATCTAAACCTACTTCAGTCAGGATATTTTAGATGATCCTATCTCGTCACAAGGAAATATATCCTTTCATCTCACTGAGCCAACGCTTAACGTAATTGCTTTACATGTTGAAGTAATATCAGCAATATAGTATTTGCGTCAGCTCTGTTGCAGATGGGGATGACTTCAATTTATGCATATCGTCACAATTAAAGCAACTTAACTCTCATCCTACAGGTTATGTTTGATCAGTCAGTCGATAGGACATACCTCAGAACACATCCCGCCATATCATGTCTTTACAATGTTATGTCTCAACTATTTTCACGACCCTCTAGCTTTCCTGGAAAATTGAAGCGGAAAAGACTAATGACCTGCTGTTGATTGCTTTTATTCCTCCAGTCAATGGGAATATGCTCTAGCTACGCGATTGAGCAGTTCAGCCAGCGTAGAAGACAATGACTAAGTACTTGTCGATATTTTGGTAGCCTTAGTCCCATCATCTATTGCTTTTTCCTTGGAGAGAACAACATCTTATATAAAGCTTAGCGGGAAGAGAGTGAGATGGCCAACAATACCAGCCATTGTTACTCTTATGGTAGTACCTAAGGTCATGTTAAACTCAATGCGCTATTTCGGTAGCTTATCACCATGAGGTTAGTTCATGAGCCCACTATGCATTGTAATATACTAGATTGATCGTTGGCCGAAGAGGAGACTTAGGATATTAATAGCTATTTTCTACCGCTAGATGTCGCTCAACATGAGCCACGTCTCGAAGCTTGGTATCTTGCAAATACCGGCATATCTAGGGAAGCACAGCCAAGGTATACCATCTCGATAATTTGATTTCAGCACTCAAGCTCGCCAACTGTGCCACCATGCTTTCAAGTCGGATAGTATGCAACGAATAGAGAGTACATCAATTTAGTGGGCCTTACGAGTTCTGGACAGCTAACTGGCCCCTCTTACCAGAAGTAACAAAGTATATGTGAATTTCTGAAAGAAGCTCACGCTGTGAAGCTGGACAAAAACCATACAGGAACATCCTATCAGACAAAGGCATACAAATGAACAGCCAGTTACAAGGAACCTCCACTGCGTCCACGGCAACCAATTCACAGTTACACGCCTGAACTAGGAAAACCTAGGGTTCACCCTGGTTCAGCAGTAGAACGTTCCGGATCCCCAATCCCACGAATACCAGCATACGCAAAATTTCGTTCTGTTACTTTACCATTCTTTTGCTTTTCTTCTCTCCACCTTTGTTTCTGTACTCCTTCCATTGACTTGTCAACTTTTTACACCACACACTCAATACGTCTTGGTTGTTTCCAACATCGCCTCACAATATACATGACTCATTGCTTAGACAACGGCCATGGCCCGCTCTAAGGAGAGCTCCAAAGTGAAGTCAAGAAAGGCTGGCCGTCGTGGAAGTCAGATGTCATGGAACGATAACAATATCAACACTGTATGCCAAAACCAGACCTCCGTCTCTACTCCCTCCCCTGCTGTTCAAGCTGACACTATCTCCTCACGTCAGCTGTGGCAAATCATCATGCGCACCCAGCAGGTGAACCTCGACCTGAACCTAGCTGAGATTTCCGCTGCTTGGCGTAAGTACCTCCCCATCACGACCCAGTCAACACTAACACGCCTTATAGCCACCCAACCCCGCCCCACGATCCTTGCGTTAGAACAGCAGCTGGCCAACTTCCGTCGTCATCTGCGCCCTGGAAACAGCGTGGTGCTCCGCCGTGGTGACATCAACGCAGCCATGAGTTCCCTGGCCACTGCCAATGCTCATGCTCATGCTGCCCCGACCGTGAATGCCCACACCCATGTATTTTCCATCAATGGCGGTGGCAATGGCAACACTACAAGCGACGCAACAGCTCACGCTCACCCTCATACCGACATCATCCCTGGTGTCCAGGGAATAGCAGGTCCTAGCAATGCTAACGGTAATGACCATCATGCCATCACTAGTGACAATGCGGGTTGGTCCTCCCCTCCTCCCTTGCAGATACACAGGGCTAAGGAGTCTCAGGTGCCAGCCGCGTCCGGCGAGCCTCCCCTCGGCTGGGGTCCGGCTCCCGAACCACCAGCCAGGCCATTGGAGCTCAGCAGGACAGCTAGCAGTCGCGTCGTGACTAGAACTTATTGGCCTCACCCTTCTTTGGCTCGTCGTTACTTAACATATTGTGACTGTGGAAGTTTGACTTGCTTTTACTGCTACGAGAAGTTCATGGGCCAGCGGTAGTCTCTTGGTGTTGGCGTTGGCATGTTTGGCATGCGCATGTATCTATTCATGGAGCTCTTTGGGGATTGAATGTGGTTATGGTGGATTGTGGACTCCGGTAGTCACCAGAATTTGTGCTTTATGGGGGAGTGTATTCTTGGCTACCGATGATAGTTCAGAGTGGGTAGTGGATAGTTCATAGTTGATATTAATGCATATGAAGAAATCGCTCTATAAATTATCTTAAAAAGACCCTTTGACCGTCCGGACATTTCTAGGGGCCCGAATGGAATATTTTCTCATTCAACAGTTATAAGTCTGGGATATCTCTAGCAGGGCCCTCGGGACCTGAGACCCTCGTCAAAGTTGAAGCCATTTAGACCTCCTCTCGCTGCTGACCTACCAACCGGGAGGTAGTCTGTCCCACGGTAGAACATCAGCACTAACACTCCATTATCTCTATACGTCAGCTTCCAAGCGGTCTAAGATAGCGTAAGAGAGACTTAAATTCTGACGACTGAGCGGGAGAAAATCACTTAACCCGGTAATGAGATCGCCTATGCGAGGGACCGCCGCGATTTCATCTCAAAATCTACGATAGCGTACCTTGTAGCATCCACGTAGAAACATCCAAGGGTGTAAATATACCATCTGGTCATTTTCGAATATCTGGATACCCAAGGTGTCTTCATAAGGTAACTTGTAGTAGGATGTCCTGGTTGAGACACTCTACCACAGGGCCGCCTACAACTGTCCTACTACATCATAATATTCGAAATATAGCGGACGAACTTCTCTCATTAACCCCCAAACCATAACAACTGTCCCACAATCACAAAGACTGAAATTGTAATACTTAACACCCATAAAACAAAACTCAACCACGTCCGCAAAAGTCCACCTCACAAGTTCGCTCAAGCCAAACCAAACCTCGATCACTTCACCTCCTCATCCTTATACTCCTTCTTAACATGAATGACCACCTGTACAGACATGTCACTCTCATCCCCATCCTCCATTTCACTCTCACGCTTAATATTTCTCTTTGCAATCTTGGTTGGCGTCTTCACGATCCCACCCCCTTTCACCTTCTTCTTCGGCGTAGTCCTTGACTTAGATGGCGAAGTAGGAGGTGTACTCTTAGCAGAATCCCCTCCTTCTTTTGCAACCATCCTTCGTAGGCGAATGATGCGCTTGTTGACTGCACAGGCGGTTACGTCTAACCACATGATACATAATATCATATTAGTCTAGTCCCTTTGTTCTGTTGTTTTCTGTTCTCAGAGAAAGTAAAGCGGAAGCTCTTACCAGGGCCCATATGCGCGGCTAGTTTATTGAGGTCTGGTTTGAAATTCGCATCCTTGCATTGATTCAGGTAGCCTACGAAGAGCTGTTTTGGGTTGTTTTTGTTAATGGGTTTGTTCTTGGTAAAGGAATTCGGGGTGGCTGGGGTACCTTTGCGTCTGCCTCTGGGGTCCAGGTTATGCGCATTTTGTCCTCTTTCCCTCTTCCCGAGCTTGGTGTTTTTAAGTGTGGTTATTGAGGTTGTGTGGGTTGAGGATTGTTCGTTTTGCTTGAGGAGAACTGATGGTCGATTGTTGATTGTGAGGTGGGAGTGTGTTGGAGAGAGAAATGTGAGGGAACTTTTATGACAGGAGGTGAGCTGTAACTGAGGTGATGATGAATGATGCGAGAGCACGTTCTGTTAGTTGGTGAATAGCTGTGTTGTGTTCCTTTGTTGTGCTCGCTTCTAGTTATGGAGTGATGGATGGTATCGGTCTCGGCGTGTGCTGCGGAGTGCTCTTGTGTTGATATGTAATAGATAGGAGAGTGTTGTATATTACGGTGTAATTTTAATCAGTTATTGAAAGAGAGGACAGGTAGTGTATCATTAATGATCATTATTATGGGCATATCATTCCTATACTAGATACCAAGATAGCTGATGATGTCTCATTTCACCTTCACAAATCTGTATAGCTTGTCGTCTGCGTTGCTTTCTTGCACAACATATCAGATGGTGAACTCCCCCTGTAGAGGCAAATCCCGACTGGATCTTCCCACATACACCTGGTATGTCCCAGATTGAAGCAACCATTCCTGTGCCACCACATCCCAGGTACTCAAGTCCCGTCTTCCCAAAGCGAACTCCACCTCCACTGTCTGTCCAACGGGGATAGTTACTTTCTCAAACCCGCGAAGCTGACGCACAGGTCCATTGGGAATACCCAAATAAAGCTGTGCAACTTCGTCACCAGCCACTGGTCCGCTGTTCGTGATGTCGACAGACACCCGGAGGATCACATCCCACAGGTGAGGGTTTCCACCTTCTTGGATCGCCGCGGACGGAGGATACTGACTGGTGGAGTTGTCACTGACTTGACCGATGTTCAGTCCAGAGTAGTCGAATGTGGTGTACGACAATCCGAATCCAAATTCGAATTGCGGCTCGATTCCCTCCTTGTCAAAGGCACGGTAGTCGATGTATACTCCCTCGCTGAAGTCATCCTGCGGGAACAGTCCATACTGGCCCTCGGGCTGCTTGGGATGCAACAGGGCTCCATAGTCCTCTGCGCTCTTGGCAACTGTGTACGGGAGCTTGCCAGATGGGTTGGAGCGCCCGTAGAGCAACTCCACCAGTGCACGGCCGGAGTCTTGACCCGGGAGATGGGCGAATATCACAGCGGTGACGTTTTCGTGGTCGATCCAGTTATTGACCAACCGGATGCCGGCGTTGTGGATGGTCACGATGGTGTTGCTGCACTTGCTGGCGACGTTGGTCACTAGTTCATCGCTTCCCTCGTCGACTAATCCGGCACGGTCGTACCCTTCTGTTGCGTAGCTATTGATGAATACAAGACAAGCGTCCGTGTTGGGGTCAACCTCCGGGTCTTGAGCGGAAATGTTCCATAGAATGGAGCTGCCATCTTCGATCACCTGCTGTTGGAGAGCATCTAAGGGTGCACTGATGTATGCGGGTGAGTTTCCACCGGAACCTCCGCCCACAATGAGTGTGTGATTTGGTTGGATCGCCGGGCTGTAGCTAAACCATTCCAATGCGAAGCCAAGACTGTCAGGTCCCTTTGCATCATATCCAAATACGGAGATCATATTTGGCGACTTCAGAGGAAGGGTGTTGTTCGAGTTCTTTACCAAAACATGACCCTCGATCGCACTCTGGAGAAGCACTTTCCTTGAGTCCGACGACTTTCCGATGATGGCTTGGTGTGGTGTGTATACGTCCGACGGCATCCCTACCCCCGGTAATGGGAATTCAGCGTCCTGGTTCATCTGGTACCACGATGCGATGATCCTAGACACTATTAGAGTCATGAAGCCCATAAGGGACAGGTGGATAGCCTCACCTAGTTGCCATGTCATCGAGTCTGGATGCCTCCATAGTGCCATTTGCAATAGCATCGGTAAGGTTCGAGTTCCACAAGGTGCTTGATGGCATGACCATATCCAAGCCAGCGTTCGATGCTGCAATACCGCCATGCTGGGCACCCCAATCGGTCATGACATAACCTAGATCCAGTCAGTCAAGGACAGAGTCTACCAACATCTCCGGATTCTGCATACCTTGGAATCCAAGTTCCGTCTTCAGCAAGCCATTCAACGTCTTGCTATTTTGGCAACCGTAGGAGTTGTTGATGCGCTGATAAGAGCACATAATCGATACACTACCAGCACGAACCGCATCCTGGAATGGCCACAGATACAGTTCATGCATAGTTTTATCATCGATATTAGATGAGACGGATGCGACATCGATACCGTTCTCCGACTCCGGGTTCCGGTTGGTCTCTTGCTCGTTGGCAATATAGTGCTAGTCTGGGGTTAGTATGAAGAGCCATCGATTGTCAAGGTACGGGCCTAGTTACCTTGGTCGAGGTACCCACACCCGCAGACTGGATACCACGGATAGTCTCCGAAACCAGCAGGCCGCTGTGGTAAGGGTCCGTCGAGAAACCCTCCCAGTTGCGGCCACCTTCTGCTACGCGGCCAATTGGGCCTACCACGGGACCCAGAAGAACGTGGACTCCCTTCTTGTGGAATTCACTACCCATGTGGAGGCCTCTTTTATGTGCCAGGTCCTTGTTCCAACTGCAGTGGGAATACATTAGCCGTCTAACTGACAGTATAATAGTCAACCCGAAAGCATACCTTGCACCAGCATGGATACCACTCGACCAAGCATTGACATGATCTGTACTTCTCTAAAGCAATTCTTAGTCCTGGTCCCAGTGTGCAATATAGAGTCACATACCAAACCGTTCCCAGCATCAGACACACATAACCCAGGAAAGTTCAGCCGAGGAATGGCCGGGATATTTCCCGAGCAGCCATTGTCGGCGTCCGTACCAGTGGTAAGATTCACCTTCTCCTCTGGAGTGAGGTTGGCGACGAAGGCCTTTGCCTTTTCGTAAGCAGATGCCCATGCTCCGGTACCCGTACCCAAAGCTACATATCCGAGTCAGCAGACATAATACATACATTAACACCAATGACATCTACATACGAGGAGGGACAGCAGGCGACTGTCCATAGAAGTATGCGTCACTGGTGATATTTTCCTGCGTCGGAGCGGCATAGGACAACGAGACACCGGCCAAAAGGCCAGTCAACCCCGCAATGGCGTGCATTTTGTCTGTTGCTGTGTGTACTTCTCTTTTTCAGTCTGGGATTTACGATCTATTTATCTCCCCACAAATCCTACTACGACACCCACGGACAACGACAACTATGCAACTACATGAATTTTTACATCTCATCGTATTGGTCACCGGCTAAACATCGGGGGAATAATCAATATAGTCTGCAGAAGTGCAAGAGAAGATAAAAGTAAATAAATGACTCTATAGCAAGGTTCCCCACATTTTCTGTACACGGTACACAACACACGGTGCAGATATCCCGGAGAAGCCGGGGCTATACCGTTCCCCGCATTTTACAAAAAGTAACCCCACATTAAGATACTCCGGGGAAGCTTCGACTATACCGCACCGGCAAACGACCGTGCCCATGGACTGCCGTGTCTTCCGTGCTCTTGCATGTACAGTACTCAGGATCTTCTATTCTCTACTATCAGCCAAGTATCCGATAGACCCACTCCGAAGGAGTCTTGACCGTATGACCCTTTGCGGGGGGGTTTTGAGGTAACTAACCCTCGCTCTACTATTAAGCCGATGGGACCCTATTGCCAAGTATTCTAATTAGGCTATAGTGTGTTGCTTGTCCTATCGATTAATTCTTGGGCGGGTCGTTCCGTCTTCTGTGCTCTGTGCTGGTTGTGACGTGTGGGCCGTGCTGTTGTCGGCGAGAATTTTCGGCAAATACCACTGTTACACTGGAACTTCGGCCTATTAGTAATGTAGAATACTGTTAACTAAGTACTACTTGGTTAGTCCCGGAGGTGATTAAGGGTTTGCTTGGTAGAGTGGCCCGATTGGAAGTGTCATTGCGTGATGACTATAGTCTAGTATTCCTTCCTTCCTGCGGGACATTTAGTAGTCAGTAACCTTCCGAGCGGGGCACCTTGAGTGAATCTTTGAGTGGGTATGTAGGGAAGATGTAGAGAAAATGAAAGAAAAGAAAGATCTTTAGAGTAGATTGTCGATGGAATGGTAAAGGACAAGGGTTCTTAGTAGGATTAGTGGTTGACTCACATGAACTTTCAAAGGATAAATAATGGTAGAAGAGAGTGTAGGTACAAAGGTCAACAAGGTAAGGAGACCTACCTCAGCACAAAACTCAAGATCTCCAAGTAAGAACTATAATACCCTCGTTGCGCGCCTTAGATACAGGCTAAACCTGACCCAGGTCACCAGGTGAAAGAGCCAGAGGATCCATGATGTCATGTTCCTGTACACCGCACGAACCAAATCGTGTTCGCCAAGTCAGAATATGAATACAGAGTCATGATACAGTGCTTAGAGATGCCCAAATACTAGCTCACACATGGCGCTATCAAGTAAGTTCCGCTTAAACCCTGAGTGGATACAACTGCCCGATTAGGAATAATGTTCCTATGCCTTAGGCAGGCAGGCATCCGAGCGCGGGACTCACATCCCTTCCCGTCTTTTAACAAATAAAACTAAACAATACATAGTTACATCGTTATATTTCTCTATACAACTAACAATAATAACCCCCCTCTACGCCGACCCAGACTTCTCGGCGTGCAACACACTAGCCGTCGCATTCTCAAATGTCTCCCTCGTAATTTTCTCCTGCAACTCCCGCTCATCACCATCCAACCTGTCCCCAAACACCACCGCAATCTGCTCAAGAGACTTCCCAGAAGTCTCAGGAACGAAAAGAAACGAGAAAATAGCCGCGGCCACACAGAAAAGTCCAAAGAAAAGAAAAGTGCCCCAACCAAGCTTAATGAGCATCTCCGGAACAACCACGCCGATAATAAAGTTGGCCAGCCAGTTCATTGCAGTCGCCGCGCCGACACCCTTGGCTCGTTTGGAATTCGGGAATACTTCAGCTGGTAGGACCCAGGCAAGTGGGCCGTATGATACTGCGTATGCGAGTGCGTAGGCATCTAGGACTCGTGTTAGATTCGATATCAAGGTCCAGGAGGAGGAAAGGCTACGTACAGATCAGGGCTACGCAGAACCATCCAATTGCTTTATGGGAGGGCCAGTCACTGCTGTATCGGTTCATCAGTCCGGCCATGATTAGATGTGGTATAGCCATGACAACCCCTCCGATGATGGCCATTGTCCGACGACCGACGCGATCCAGGTACATGAGGATCGGTATACCTCCGACAAGCTGGCAGATGTTGACCATTCCGGATAGGATGAGGGATGTTTCGCTGCTTTGACCGAGAGCTTCAAAGAATGTGGGAGCGTAGTAGACGAACGCGTTGATTCCCGAGAACTATCTGCTTGTTAGTATCTTAGCACGAAACTGGAACATCGAGGATTATACCTGTTGGAAGAACGGAATAGCCAATGCCACAAGCGTTCGTCGAAAATACTTTGGACGGGCGAGAGAGACCCACTGCTTCAGGCCGACCATAAGTGGACGAGACTGGTGGTCTGGATATTCTTTCTCGAGCATTTGTCGCTGGAATCGCACTTCGGAGAGAATACCTTTCCATTCCAATTGTACTTGCTCATCATGCACAGGGCATCTGCGCAGCTTCGCGAGAGCGGAGAGACTGTCTTCTTCCCTCCCGCGCATTGCGAGCCATCGAGGCGAAAACGGGAAGAAATGAATCGCGCAACCAACGACCAAGGCGGGAAACATCTGTAAAAGGAATGGCAGTCGGAATGACCACTCGCCGGGTATGGCCCTAACCATGCGCATCAGAAACCTTGCCGGGGGGAAAGTGGGAATGCATTGACAGCATACCTCGTGCCATAAGTTATCCAATAGGCCACAATGGCCCCAATAACAATGCTGATAGATTCCAGCACAAGCAATGATCCTCTCCACGCCGGAGGAGCGATCTCCGAGATATATAAAGGTGCTCCCATAGCCAGTGTACCCACGCCAATACCCCCAATGAATCTGCCAGCCACTAATGTGCCATAGTTCATCGATGCTGTCTGGATAATGGCGCCAATGACGAAGAATACCGTCGCAACTGTCAATCCCCATTTACGGGAGATGCGATCCGCAATGGCTGGGAAAAACAAACAGCCGATGAAAGCGCCAAGCTCGAGCATACCCGTCATAAAGCCGGTGTGGAATCCATATCGTGGGTTTTCGGGAGAGGTCTCGGGAAATTGTTGCCGAAACTGCGGCATTACCAGGATTAGGGAAATGACACCTTGGTCTGAGATATCGAGTCAGTCTCGTTGGTGTGTCGTAAGTCCAAAGAAGGCCGGGCAATTGTTTTCACATACCATAGCCGAAGGAGAACCCGCCAAACGAGGCGAGGAGCGCTGCTCCAAACACATAAGGGGACTGTAGAAGATCTCGTAGCTGTCCATTGTCGTACTTGACCTCGACGGTCATGTCCGCCGGACCCATGTCGTCCGCGTACTCATCATGAGCTAAAGAAGGCTTATCAATTGTCTTTTCCATTGTCACTATATCCAATTGGGTCTGGACACTGGACTGCCCGACAGGTCCATACTACGACGGCATGTTGACGGTATATATATCTTTCAGCTGGTCTAGAAACTCGAAGAACGTGGCCCTGGTACGTTCAAGCCAGAAACGATAAGATCCAATGCTTCTCCGCATTTTGTCGCATACCCCACGGGGGGCAACCGAGACGAGCTCCACAAGAGGCGGACGAATTTAACTCAGTTGGGGTGTCGCCTGTATCATCTTCTTTGTGATTGGCTACAATCTCCTCTCGTCGGGCCGCTTTCGCCCTTTCCGGTATTACCTAAAGTGGATAATCTGCCCCATTGGGAGCAGCGTTCGTCGGCTATCAAATCGCAAATGCCGTGATTACTCTTGCTCCAATCATGGTGACTCATGGCAGCGATATGGCACTTTTAAGGTTATTGCTTGTGGATGCGTAGCTGGTTACTATATAGCCGATTGTTTGATGAACAGGCACTTGGTGCCTGAGTATCCAGGTATCAGCTCGCATTGCCCCATTTGGTAGTGGTCTCCATTACCTCTTCCCTCAAATTCAAGTAGACAATGATGTATGCAATGGATATTAGATTGGCCTATATGATATCATAATTACTAGCCTGACTCTCGTAATGTAAATGAAAATTCGTCACTTTCACCACCCACCTCCACAAAGAATATACCCTTATAACAGCCCCCTATTTACGTCAGTCTAGTCTGGCTTGCGGTGCCTAGATCATGGAAGACCCCACTCTCGCTCATACCGACAGGAAAGAATGACTGAGACAACGGTACGTGCCAACTCACGGTCTAGGACCGTCGGCAGATGTATCGGCCTGCTGATGTTTCAAGTCCACCTCGTCGGGCGTTTCTTGATCCGTATTGGTGAGGGTGACGGCCAACACCGCTGGAAGGGCAAGGACAAGCGAACCCATACACAGGCCCCAGTCGACTGCAAACTGCAGCATTGGCGACTTACCCATCGCATCTAGTCGCCACGCCATTGCACCACCCACGCTCTGGAAGGTTTTGTACGCTCCCACCAGGATGGCGGCCACCGCGGGAGAGTTCGACTGAGCTCCCATCAGCCAATAACAGAACGACTGCCAGAAGGCATCGTACATGCCATAGAAAATATAGAGGAACATGGGTCCAACGGAGATGCTGTTGTCAGTGAAGTCGACATCTTGCTTCTTGCCCTGCGCCGCACGTCGATCAAACCATAGCTGAAACGCATATCCTCCACCCCAGATCGCCATCCCTGTGACGAATAAGAACAGCCAGTTAACTCGAGCCCGCCATTGACGATTCAGACCCGGGATATCCAGGAGGAAGCCCATGATGAGTCCGCCGAACATCTGTGCGATCCAGTACAGGGCACCATTCAAAGAGCGGGACCGAATGTTGAATGTCATTCCGTTGACGGTATTTTGCTGATATGAATAGAATACATTGGCACAGAAGAACAGCGGGAGCATGGATAGTACTCTCCAGTCACAAGTTGTTTTCAAGGTGAGCTTCGCGATGCTGAGCCAATTCTTTTTGCCCTCGGGAGTTGTTTGCAGAGTTGACACCCGCACTGATTTCGGTGGGCAAATCAGAGACCCCATGAGCCATCCGATGGCCATGATAATGAGCAAAGCGATGTACGTGCCGTCCGAAACTGTTCCACTAGTTGAGTGGTAATTCATACCGAAACTGGCCAAAGAACCAATGCCACCGCCCAGATTGAAGATGATCCAGAAGGCTGCAATGGCGCGGCCCTTCTGCGATTCTGGGACATAGGTGGTCATGATAGCGCCTTGGGCCACCCAAAGGAATGAAGCCCCAATACCGAGAATGGCTCCAGCTGCGATAACAAATGCACCGTTCGCCGTACCTTGAACCTAACATCAACTTGGATAGCAGAATATAGACGGTGAAATACATACGGTTGAAGCATAGAAGACTTCCGGAATACAACGGATATGTCCAGCCTCCAATCAGCAAACAGGCCCGAGGCCCAATGCGGTCGAAGATAGGCCCAACAACGAAGAGTGCCGTGCCAGCCATGGCAGAGAGTAGAGCAACGTTCGCATTTGCCGCTACGGTCCCGTCGACTTGGCCGGAGCCTCCAATCCCAGTGAGGGCATTATACATCTGTATCAAGAATACTGCGTCAGCATCAAATAATTGGCTCGCTGAACATCAACACTTACGCCAGGACAGCAAAAACAGATAAGACTTATCAACAATATTTGGAACCACGGATAAGTATACACCCGGTATACCAAGGACCGTTGCCCGGGGTTGGGACTGAATCCCTCAGAGACATATACTGGATCGTTGCCCATATTGACTTGGGCAAGTCTGAACTGTGAAGTCGTAAATCGTTGAGGAAACCGAAAGAAGGGCGGCGGTCGCGCCCATTTAATAAAAATGAAAAATTAATATAAGGCTGCCCAACAGCAATCAATCTGTCCACAACAACATCCGTGCTCGAGTCAGTGTGTTGATAGCGATTGGTTTAGATGGCGGATGAGGCCACCCGTGATTGGATCGAACGATTAGCCTCTTCGCGATACCGTCACATCCAACCCCAGATTTATTACTACTGGTAATGATAAGACAGCCATGCGACGCTAGGAAGTAACCCTAGTGCGGGTGTGCGATGCCGATCTTGCCTCGTATTCCACGCCAACACCCGACACGAGGACCAATAACGTTGGAGGTCCGGACAAAGATGCATGCACACGCCAAATAGCTCCCCTGGGAAAAGACATGAGATCAAACGTTCATTGGTCCTATCGGGAATACAGGAGGCCTGAACCGACCGCAGACCGAGTCCGATGATCTCCGCACAGCGCATGGCGGACACTTTGCAGATTAAAAATAGTCAACACGCCTCTTAGCGAATACAGCCATGTTGCACTCTCAAGTATCACTCTGATGAAGGGGAGGATGGATGCATCAATGCCACGTGTCTGCGGCAGCAATAAGTAATTGATATTTGAGTCAGACAAGTAGAGGCGATCGTTAGATAGCTTCACCCGGGACTAAGATCATATTTTTAGACAAAGACACAGCCCCGGCTCAGCTTCTTTGACAGGTGTGAGCTTCAATCCAGAGCTGCAGCGTTTCAATAGTGCCTGAATATCGCGGGCGGAGATCATTCCATGCATCAGGTTGACGGTATTATTAGAGGAGGCTGGTGCAACCACTTTAAACTCTATACATCACTAGTTAGTGTCAACGGTACTGCAGCCTTGGGTAGTACCTTGTAGTCTCGGTTGCATGCTATTTGCCAAGAGTACTGTTCGGTTCACCATGAAACCCGTCACTCCCTCCGACATGGGACAAGCAGGCAAGCTTGAGTTTCTTGGTTGTCGCTTATCCAGACTGGACCCTCGCGGGGAACACGCGACGAGTAAAGCCGGGACGCACAAGACTAAACGAGGTAACTGGAAGTAAGATAGTCCCACAAAGCCGCATTCAGATGGTTTTGTAGCGCGTATGTCTCCCAAGATAACCTAATTGAATGATAGGACATACGGGTCGCAAGCTATCGTATATCATATATCATCATCCTACAATGATATAGAGCGTTGGATGATTGAGTAGCGTCAATTATATCGAATGACGTAAAAAAATAAGCGGATCCAAGCGCAACGCAATATGAGCCCGACCCAGCTTACCACAAAATTTTAGATCTTTACCCTGCTAGAGTTTGGCGGAAATAGGCTTGGTTCCCTGAAACTGTTTTTATTCTTCTAATGGGTATTGATGGACATGGCAAATTCCTTTAGGAAGGCTCCGTCATGATTCTTCCAAAAGAGATTTAGAGCTCATGGGAACCCAGCCACAAATCGCAATATTGAACTCGGTATCTTATTGGATAACCACTTATCCTATAGTGCTTATCAGGACACTGCTTAAACTCATAAGAGAGATAAAGAACGTAAGGATGTAACCTCAACATTGGAACTATATGTCACAGTACCGCTCCTGCAATGGGCCTTGACAGTTAGGTTCGCTGTTGAAACTAGCCCGATGATGGCTTTGTGACTCGGATGACTCGTTTATCGCTTCAACTTGGTTGTATCTGTAGGGATTGTAGTAGTTAAGATGAGAATCAAAATACAAACATGAACAAAGACAGGAAAATAGCCCCTAGACCCGAAATGGCATGCCACGTGGTAGCAGATCAGGTGCTGGGCAGTAATAGGAAATAAGAGTACCCAGTTAATAACTTAACGATATCTCGTCGTAAAAGCGCTAATAAAAATGTGTGTCATTTCTCTTTGAAGTAAAAGCAAACTTATCCGTGCAAGGCTATTGGTCAGCCTTGCAGACCAAACGCTGCCCCTCCTTTCGACCTCGTCACTCTGAGATTTTAATCAACCATGTGTTCTATGTATGACGTGCGAAAATGGACTACACACACAATGACTATACCGTAGCATGGGTCTGTGCCTTGCCTTTGGAAATGACGGCGGCAAAGACAATGCTGGACAAGGTCCACCCTTCCCTGCCACAGCCAGAAGCAGACCATAATACATATATACTCGGAAATATTGCCAGCCATAATGTGGTAGTGGCGTGTCTACCATCAGGTATTTACGGAACCACCTCTGCGGCAACCGTGCTGGCTTATATGCTATCAACATTTCGTTCCCTGCGATTCGGGTTGATGGTAGGGGTTGGAGGCGGGGTTCCCAATGAGACCGCGGATATCGCCTTGGGGATGTGGCTGTCAGTATACCAACTCCAGCCTCGGGAGGCGTGATCTAATATGACTATGGAAAGACACTTCGTGATGGACGCTTACATCGAACTGGGTCACTCAATAAGCCTCCACAATGTCTCTTGACTGCCGTATCTCATATACGCAGCGACTTTATGATGAGAGACTCAATAATTAGAAAGAATATAATAGAAGTACTTGGGAAGCAGCAAAAAGCCAATAAGCAATTCTCAAAACCAAATCATGACTGTCTATTTGACCCGAGCTATGACCATGTGGACAACGGCAAAATTGCTGACCGTTCATTATGTGATCAGTCCCAGCAGGTACTTCGTACAGAACGAGATGCTGATGAACCGGGTATTCATTATGGGCTGATTGCAAGCGGGAATCAGGTTATCAAGGATGCTAAGACACGGGATTCCATTGCTCACGGGTTAAATATACTCTGTTTTGAAATGGAGGCAGCCGGATTAATGGATCAGTTACCATGTCTGATCATTCGCGGAGTCTGTGATTATTGTGACTCACATAAGAATAAGGAATGGCAAGGGTACGTAGCTCTTACTGCTACTGTATACACAGCCGCTCTACTGGCTGTTGTTCCTAGCGTCAACGATAAGGCTCAACAAGAACAGAGTATGTGATTCCCGAGAGACTTAGATATTTCATTAACCACGCCTAGAGACTGAATTCACTGCCGAAGATACAGCATGCTTGCAGAACCTGTTTAATACGGACCCAGCAGATGACAAAAGTGCACTCCGACGGAGAAAAGGGGAGCGTGCTCCTGGGACCTGCAACTGGATATTAGAAACTGATGAGCTGAAGAACTGGCTCAGACCTCATGAAGGTTCCGAGGAAGGGTCAAATGTACTTTGGCTATACGGTAACCCAGGAACAGGAAAGTCAACGATGGCCATCACGCTCACAGAAGAGCTCCCCCAGAAGGCGTACTTTGCCGGCAGAGACGTCTTCCTTGCATATTTCTTCTGTGACTCGAGCTCAGAGGTTCACCGTACAGCACTATCTATATTACGGGGATTCCTGTATCAATTGATTAAGGAACATCCCAAATTAATAGAGTATCTACTTCCGAAATACAGCAGCCAGAAAGAAAACGTGTTCAGATCATTTGATGCATTGTGGAGTGTATTTATGAGGATGAGTAAAGATCCTGATATTAAGGGGGTATACGGCATCATTGATGCCTTAGATGAATGTGATTATGCCCCAAAGCAGTGAAAGAAGGTGAGATAAACAAATCAAATGTGGTAGGACCCCTATATGGTGAGCACCATGGTACCCAGGCTATGGGCCCTTCAATACAGTTATTCCTACCCTTGTGCACGGAGCATCGTTATGGATTTTCTTTTTGACCGCAGCTTCTGTCATATTATTCTACATAGCGTAATAGGTTTCCAAATACAGGTCATTCACAAAACAACATCTAATCTTCATTACATACTCATACGCTGATGGCTTTTGATCGGGAAATCAAATGGAATGCATATAGTAAGCTACCTACCATTATACGACCAAATACAAATCATATTATGAACGGACAAAGATAAACCTGTTTCTGAACATCGGAAGTCAGGAGGAAGGCATAAACACCTGTCAGCCGATAAACCCTTACATCTGATTCACGACAAGTCAAGACTTTGTGGAACGGCCCATGCTCATCCCAACCTCGACATCAACCATAATCCTCTGGTGGCTGAGCTTCTCCAAGTCCTCGTCCAGCTGAATACGGTCTTTTTCAAACGCCACAATGATACTCGATCCTCCAAACTGGAAGAGTCCAATCTCGTCTCCTTTCTTCACATGGTGTCCTTCCCTAATATGTTCATGGATTCTATATCAACGATTAGCAGACGACGATATTCGCAAAACTCCAGAATACATACTCAACGGTGCCAACATCTGTTGCGCCAATGGCCACAAACAGAACATCTCCAAATTCCTTGCTTTCAATACAGACACAGCACCGCGCATTCTCCGTCAAGATATTAACCGAACTCTGCAAAGCCACCGGATCAACCTGATAATAGTCGCCCGGGATCGCCTTGAACCACTTCACCGTTCCTTCAACGGGAGAGTGGTACCGGTGATAGTCCTGCGGACTAAGGCGAAAGCTAGCGACCGCTCCATCCTCCCACCCTTTTGCACGATCCGCGTCTCGGATTAGATTGGCGATGGTGAACTCGTTCCCCTTGATCCATAGTCGGCGCGTTGCTTCCACAGTCGGATACACTACAACCCGCGAGTCAGACACTATAACTGCTTTCGTGGGGTCGTCAGCCTCGTAAATCGGTCGTGCTCCGGGTGCGTGTTTCCGGATGAAGAAGTCCTCAAATGTCGCGTAAGCCTCCGGGTTCGATGGTTCGAAGTGGGACATGTCGATCTTGTAGAACTCGATGAAGCTTTTGATTTCGCCATGTGACTGTGGTTTTCCTTCCATTATTCCTACTTTCAATCAGTGACTGATGCTCTCCTATGACAATGTTAGCAGACATGCTGCGCAACTTACCTGCTCTTAGACTCCTCTCATGGGTCCATAGCCGGAGAAGATGCGTACGATCTATCCATTCTGTGAGCGGGTTAAATAGTAGAAGGATCTTGAGTTTCTTCAACAATGGTTGCTGCTCCCGTGTAAATTCTCCCGTCTTGCGGTTGAATGTTAGCCACCCTACATGGCGCTCTTGTAGCTGCCGGATGAATGCGACAGCGATATTGACCAGCTGCTGTAGATAATTGAGAATGCCTGGCATGGCGCTATACACGTCTCTGATTTACGATCACATATAATAGATAGCAAAGTGATTCGAAGTGTTGATTAACCTTGAAGAGGCGGATATTAATCGAAGGTATTAAGTCAAAAGGTTCCCTATGGTAAGGGTGACGTCACAGCATGAACCCTTACAAAAGGTCAAGAACAACTTCCAACGTCATTTTGCACTACATTTGTCAGGGTAATTATTGATTGCAGAGGTTTTAGTTTTCCGATGATTGAAGAACAGACAATCATGCAAATCTTATATTCATATTATTAGAAGACATTGAAAAGTGGTAGTGAGGAGCTAGAAAACACCACCATTGCAGGTTTAGGGAAAACATATTCTTGTCCACAATATTCCTATTCATGCTCCATCTTCTCTAGGGTTCCTGGATTATGAGCGACTTTCTTGCCGCGCTGATCATGGAATACGACCTGAATAGTTGATATTAGCCATATCCTCCACATAGTCAGTACAGTCTCACCTTCGGTGGGTTCTTCACACCCTCTTCTTCAGCTTCCTGCTCATCCATGACAATCCTTTCGACCTATACCAGCGTCGATATTAGTCCATATCCTATAATTCAGTTTTATGAGACAGGGGTCTTTTTAGAATACCTCCCCTTGGTGTGAACCACCGCGAATGCGGGTAAAGACATAATCACCCTCGTGGATAATATCGCCGTGCTTGTCCTTTACGTCGCCTTTGACCATTTTGTAATATAAATTGATTTGGACTATTAAGCCTTGGTTTTCAATGTTCCTAGGACAGCTTTCATGGCTATACGTATTGGCTGAAGCAATGGGTGTGATATATGAGTCTGCGTTTGTAGCCTTCCGTCAAGTTAACGTCATCCGGGAAGATCCGGAGAGGCGAACATCTTTCTCTATTTCTATATATCTTTTGTACACCTATTTCGGAGATTAGAGGGCAACTGCCAGTATATTTTGCATTTAGGATCCTGTAGTACCCGTAGTGAAGGTACACTAGGTTGCTCGTCAGCTTTGCCTTCGTCCATCCCCATGTTTCCTATCGTCTGCATATTCTGATCGTCTTACCCAGTAGCATTGTGCCAATATGGCCATACCAGCCTAACCCTCTAACATACCCCTTACAGTCGTTTCAAATCGCTCCGGTTCCCTCCCTAAAATCTCCTCCAACAGGGGCGACACCACAGAGGTCTCACCTCGCCTAAATGCCTCCCAACATGTAGTATACTCCTTGGCCAAATTGACCCCATGGTAGGTAAATGCTTTTCTAACCTGCGGCAAAGAAGCATACTCATCCGCCGAAATCTCCCGAATTTCGATATGCCTCCCGATAGCCCTCCCCAGTACCTGAACAGTCTCCTCTAAAGACAAGGCCTCAGGTCCAGATAACAGCAGCTCCTGGTTCAGGAACCGGAATGTCCGCGGGTTTTGCGTATACAACACAATCAACTTCGCGGTAGCTTCACCTAACTCATCCCGTTTGGCCCACGCTATTCCCGGACCGGACCCGGGATGTGGGATTGTAATCTCCTCGACCGGGTTTAGAGGGTCAAACATGGCGAGGTAGACCGAAAACAAGTCGGAGTAGAGCCCCTCCCGAATAGCAGTATAAGTCATAGATTTAGGTAGTTCTGTTGCCAGATATTCTTCAGTTGCGAGGTGAGCGCCCATCACATGGCAGACGCTGGTCCTTTCGCAGTTTCCGCCAAATGCTAGCGAGGAATAGAAGATGTGGGAGACACCGCTGCGGTGGGCTGCTATGATTGCTTGTTTATGTACCTGTAGATGAATTAGTCATGGTATTTATCTGTCTATGCCTCCTTTCGTATTTCTATTTTTGCTTTCGCTTTTTGACTTGTTTACCGTCGGGGACGATGACATACCTCGAAGCGGTACTCGATTTCAACAGAGGCGTATGAGATGAGCATCAACACGTCAACTCCGGTAAATGCATTTTCAAGGGTTTCTGGGTGGTCATAATCCGCCTTTCGGATCGTTACACCAATACGCGAGAATTTAGCAAGCTTCTCTGATTGACGAGCGATGAAAACCAGCTGCGAGGCGGGGACGAGGTTGAGAAGGTGATTGATAATGCTAAGTCCAAGACCGCCAGAGGCGGGGAAGATGCCGATCTTCAGCATCTGGATGTGATGGTACAGGGGTATTAATTTGAAGACAGACAGTTAAATATTATGATGTTTTAGAAGCGATAAAGGTAGGATAAGCGGAAAAGATAGATTATATGCTAGATTATAAATCACAAGCTCGGAGGGGCAATAGCATGGAGTGGTGGATCCACCGGACTTTAGCAGTTTCTATAAAACTTGATTCATTGGGCCTAGTTCTCTGTCCATCACTAGGTACTGGCTCTAGCTATGGGCCAAGTCAGTGGGTCACGGTATTGGAAAATATGTTCATAGCTAAATCCTAACGAGGTGGGCAGCTCCCACAATCACTGCGGGAAGTAACGTAAGCACAACTCGGTTTTCTAGTATGTAGAGTATACATCCTCGCTTGAGCTAACCAGCATCTGCGCTTGGTACAATTATAATGGCATATTTTGAGAGGTTTGGAACTACCCTTGATAAACTCCCTTTACCTTCCCTTCGAGTGCCTCCTTGACATAATCCTCAAACGTGATATACTCGAAGTCCGGATACAGCTCCTTTCCATTCAGATAGCCCAGAAATTGGGCATACTCGGGTGTATTGTCCCCTCGGATACCCCAAGAGTACAACAGTTGAGCGGTTGTCCATTCACCCAGAGCACGCATATCTGTTGGGTTTTGTTTATATGCTTCCCGAGCGTTCTTGACCTGAGCAAGAGCCTCGGCATCTGAGATCTATATTCCGGATCAGAGCTGGTTAGCTTTACTAGTCCACTGCATGAAGCCATCATGAGCTCGGGATTGTTTAATGACAGGAAACTAACGTATTTGCGAGGTAGCCTTTCTCCACTCAGTCGCTCGACGACTTCATAGACCTTGTTCTGTGTATACACCTCATTGTATACGTGCACCCGCTTGTTCAGCGTGCGAGGATCGGCAATAATTCGTGCAACATACCGCCCGACATCACGAAGGTCTGACAGGGCAGTGCGAACGTTGCCGTCTAGCGCAATAGGTATATCTCCATGCGCAGAAGAGACTATATGGTCGAAGCGGCCTGAAGGGAGCCGAGGAACCATGATCTGGTGCCACCATCCTGCGTCGATATATGTGTACGGAAGACGGATCTTCTGGATGTAATTCAGAATCTCCTCTTTCTGTAGAAATATCAGCATATGCCCCAGTTTACAGAAACCTCACAAGTACTATTGCGACGTAGTATAGGAATAGAAAAGAGCAGTTTTACCTTGTCGCGGAAAGATACAACGCCTCTTGGAGGGATCACAATCATCAACGCAGACTGGACAAACCGCTTGACACCAGCAGCCTTGGCAGCATCGGCAAGAGGATACTCGTCATCGAGGCTGTTGAAATAGATTGCAGAGATGACCACATCGATACCGGTAAGCATTTCAACGAGCTTTTCGGAAGGCCCACGCAGATCTGCGGGGACTATCTTGACACCGCGTGACTGTAACTGAGCGTTCACTGGTTTGTTCAATGATTGGGGCCGAGTCAAGGCCGTCACTTCCTGTTATCGGTCAGACGTATGCAGAAGGCCTGCGGTATGACTTTTCGACATACAAATTTGGGGTTTGTTGATTCCAACAGAGCATTCACAATGGATTGGCCTGACTCGCCGCTGGCTCCTACGACTGCGACTTTAATGGTGGTCATGGTGAGAGAGATATAGCGATAGTTGCGGATATTATTCTTCCATGAGACAAGTGGAATTTAGTCTAATATACTCATGATACTAAGAGTCTCTCAACTCTTTTGTATTCAAGACTTGCTTCTAGATTTCTAAGCTCAATAGTTTATTCTTCAATGCTTAGTTATTTGTTCAGGATTGCTGACAAAAAGTCCACGGAATTCACGTTGCGATATGGGTGGGCCAGCCTCAGTCTGCCCATGGATCATTTACATTAAGCAACTTTTCTAACCCACGGTTAGATTATCGGTGCTACGGTCAGCCTTAAAACTCAGTAGGATAATATTGCCCTCAAAGCCATGTCAAGAAAATGAATGATCGACAACCTTCACCCAACATTCTCTCATGCGAAGCATAAACGGAGGATCGAGGGCGTCCTCTAGTAGTTTTTCTACCGATTACATACGCACCTTCGGTTCTATGGTCAAATTAAAGTGGAAAGCAGTCAATTTCTCTATAGATTATGAGTTCCTCCATTGTATTATTTTGAGTTTATGATGTCATGCTCTCCGTTCTCAATAAGGGATTTTTTTTCTTTCAAGGCATGTTAATAATGTAAGTTGGTTCTAGCAGATTCGTTCCTGTCTGTACCAGTAGGCATATTTGGGCGATGTGGGTTATGATCGTCATCGTCGTTAAGGCGGAATGCATATTCCGCTTTGTGGCCACTAATGCACAAATGAGATGTTGTATAGATTGACCCATCGACAACCCCACCAAGCGCCAAGCCAAGGCAATTATAAATCGACTTTGTGATATACAATCAACTAAAAATGTAAGCAGGAGTCGTAGGACTGTCTACTCTCGTGATCTTGAGTAAGGTTCATTCTGGCAGTCAAACCTGAGACATTTGATTTATCCCTTTCACTATGAAGACGGTTTTCATGTAATTACAGCCACCCTCACCATAATACCGACTAACGGCTTCTAGCACAGGTGCCACTGGCTATATTGGCGGGGATGTTCTATCTCAGCTAGCAATCAAGCATCCCGGTCTCACATATAGGGTGTTAGTTCGTGGTCCGGAAAAAGGCGAGCAAATAAAAGCTCAGTACCCATCGGTGGAGATTATTTACGGCTCTCTCGACGATACAAGTATCCTTGAGTCCGAAAGCGCCAATGCTGATATAATCATCCGTACGTTTGAAACACTCCACGGCGCCCTGGCAAATATTGGTGCATGCTGATAGTTATGATAGACACCGCCGACGCGGCGGATCATGTCGGAGCTGCCCAAGCAATCTTGTCCGGCATTGTCAAGGGACACACGGCTGAACGTCCCGCCTATTGGTTACATACCAGCGGCGCTGGAATATTCAGCTATCTCGACACTGACAATGGAACCTATGGCATTCGACGTGATAAGGTCTACAATGACCTAGACGGTATAAAGGACATCATTACCATCCCTGACCACGCTTTCCATCGTAACGTGGACAAGGTCGTGCTCGAAGCTGGCGAGAAGTATTCCAATATATTGAAAGCAGCCATTATATCGCCCACAACTGTCTATGGTAACTAGCCCCTTCTCGATTTCATCAAAGCGACATGACTAACACCCTACTTAACCAACAGGCCTAGGACGCGGACCCTGTTCCCAGCGGAGCAGGCAAGTCTATGAAATGGCAAAATGGACACTCCAGCGAAAGAAAGCGCCCATCATCGGAAAGGGAGAGTCACGTGGCTGTGATATCCACATACTCGATCTAACCAGTCTGTACGTATTACTCTTTGATGCCGCATTGTCCGGACGCGGTGGTCTCTGGGGTGGAGAGGCCTATTATCTCGCGGAGACCGAAGAGCACGGTTGGGGTGATCTGGCTAAAAGCATTGCACGTATCGCGGCGGATAAAGGTTACATTCCTGCGGCTGAATCAGAGTCGTTGGATCATAGTACTGCCATGGCGTGGGCAGGATTTGAAGCGGCAAGCTGGGGTTTGAATGTTCGCTGCCGTGCACATCGGGCACGGAAGCTCTTGGGGTGGACACCAAGGCAGCCGAGGCTGGGGGAAGAGCTACCAAGTATTGTGGATGGAGAATGGCGCAACTTGCAGGTTGCAGAAGGCGTCTAGAGTATTTGATTAGCAGACCAGGAAGCTATCGCGTTTTACTATCACAGCTACGCCAATTGTTCTTAGGGTGGGTCTTATAATGCAGGAGCGCCCATGTATTGATTTGCTCTACTTTTAAGGATAATATCTGAAGGTTTGTACTGGACATAAGTGATGCAATGCTTATAATGGACCACAATAGAGCAGTATTTACCTATAATCTTAGGTAGATATTTGGATTTACGGGAGACTGAACATGCTATACGGTGTACATCCAACCACCTAGACGTTACGCATCATAAATTCCGGTCTCTTCTGCGGAAGTAGCGATTTTAGATCACTATGAATTTTCCTATACTATTCGTCGATCACAGTATCAATAAAACCCTTTTGATATTTAGAGGTCTTTCTTACTACAAGCATTTCGCGATGCCAGAAGTCTTAACTTTGTATGAATAACGGATGCCGGGGGCAACCATCAATTCCGTTGTGGCCTGATGTGTCGGGTGTCTGCAGGCTCTCCACTTTACCTTGCATCTCGACCAATCGGCACACAACGCTGCTATCAGATGGATGATCAGATTAGATAAAGCGGTCAGGGCCACTCGATCTGATGATGAGAGAGAACTTCCATCAGACAATGCCGGTACTCATCTCAATCAATCTAGAGTCCGTTGAAGCGAGACTCAGAATTGGCTCATTTTGATTATCAAGAATATCTAGACATGCCCAAGCCTCTCCATGTTTTCTATTCCCCCCATCTCCCATTCAAACTGGCAATCATGCATTTTCTCCAGTGGGTCCAACCAGCCCTTCATACGGCTTGGCCACGCTAGGAGGATCAGTCATATGCCCCGCTACTTTTAACTTCTCTTCCTCTGATCCTCCTTCTCTTGCGCCTTTCCTACATCCAACGTAGCCATGCTACTCCAGGCCTGGCTGTTGGTGCTATACGCGTCGTTCACCTACAGCAAGGTTATTCCTGTGAGTCCTATAAACGAACGCTGTGTGACGGCAGTGTACACAGCGTGTGGGTATTTTCCATTTGCCACACCCCCCGAAGTCGCGCGAGGATTCTGGGGATCACGATGTCAAAATCCATGGACGGTTACCTCCATTTACGCTGCTGCTGATGTATACTGCGATTCATCTGAGCGAACGGCAGGTTTCGCACAGCTCCGATCCTCCTGTCTACAGTTTGGCCATGTTGATTTAATACCACGAGACGCACTGGCCGCCAATTTGACCAAGGATGCTATCAATCGAATGAGA